ATGCAGTATTATTACCAATTCTTTCTTGATTTCCTAAATGAAATCAAAAATATTACATTGTGTTGTCAAGTTGCATGGAATCAGACTGCTTGGGTTTGGATCAGTATTTATTGGATATAGATTGAATGAATTGGACTGAAGGAAATTGAATGTAATAATTTTTTATCTTATTAGACTGGGTGTGACTAAATGTAATTTGATTGGATTTGGGTTTTCTTTATTTTATTTATTTATTTATGTATTTGTTTATTTATTTATTTATTAAGTGTTTTGAGCTGACTTGCTCTAAATTGGTGCCATAAAAACAAAATGAAATGAACCATTTTATTATTATTATTATTTTATAGAAAAACTATTTCCTGTCATCTACACTGCAAAAAGACCCCAGATGTCTGAGAACCATTGTGAGATGCTGGTGGTTTTTCTTGCTGATTCTTTTAACAGAACAAAGACCTCACTGATCATGGCTTGCAACTTAAATTGCCTTACAGACAGAGACTGCATGTGCTTGACAAGTCTTCCTGAAAACATACAATACTTTAGAGAAGAATTAGATATCCAAATAAGAAATTTCTCAAAATTTAAACTCTATTTTCTTTCTTCTTCTTTTTTCTTTAAGTGAAAATAAAAATAGAATGGCCATCTGTGTCTCTGTGCCCATGAATCAGTGCCAGTCTGTGACTCTGAGGTTCCTTCATTCCTCTGACCTGGTTGGGAAATTATTAATCCCAACACAAGTCAACCATTTATTGCATTGCTTCCATTCTGCTTTTCTTTCTAACTTGAAAAATAGCAAAGAAAATTTCATAGATTTATCGACATGACGCAATACTTGTTTTTGTGCATATAGACGACAGCAGGTGGCGCCATACTATAACAGATTTGTGTACATACTTTATCTCTACCCAGAAGCAAATTCTGTGGTTTGGAAAAAGCTCAAGTTATACAACACTTAGCAAAAATGTTCACTACCTTTGATTATTTTTTATTTTTATATTTGTGATATCACAGCCACAAACTTTCCCCCAGTTTGTTAGTATTTTATGTTACTGGCCAACTCAAAATAAGGGATGAGCCTGACCCGGAAGAAAAATGAAATATAGTTTTAATATAGTTTTAATTTACCAGACAAATCTGAGTCAATACTTTGCAGAACAATATTTGCTACAATCACAGTTGAAAGTGTCTTGGGATATTCCTTTACCAATCTGGCAGGATACGACTGAAATCCTGCCAATTCTTCTTTAAAAATTGGTCAACCTACATCAGATTAAATGGAGTGCAATGCATCCAAATTCTTTCAAGACATTTCAAATTTATGTCTGGACTTTGACTGGGCCACTAATCTGTGAAAACACTGTGGTCTGACCCATCTTTACTGGTATTGCCTGCTGGAAGGTGAACTTCTCCACAATTTCTCAATTTTTTCTGTCAACTCTGACCAGCGTCACTGTTGCTGCAGAAGGAAAGTGTCCCTAACTTCTGCATTTTACGCAGGTCGTTCAGAGGAAAGAGCTCAAGGTTACAAATGTACTTTTCAATTTTTTCTTGTGAAAATTTAGCAAAACTATGTAATATTTTCCTTCTACTTCACAATGATGAGCAATTTGGTCCACATAAAATTCCCCCCAAAATTATTTTGAAGTTTGTTCTTGTGACGTAACAAAATGTAGAAAGGTTGAAGCGACGTGAACACTTTTGCGAAGCCTTTATATTTGGCACTTAACTTACATTTTTGAGAAGTTCAGCAATATGGGTTGATGTTACTAAAAAGCATAGAGAGGTTATGATAAACCAGACTTTCCAGGAACACTGCCACAAGAAAAACGTGCTAGAAAGACATGTCTGTGCAAATATTGTCAGTGAGAATGCATTCAAGTCACAACAAGACAAAAGAGGCCTGCCAGCTAAGCATACCATTACCCTGGTTTTAGGAAGTTGTTCTTTCAGGTCTCTGCAACATGACGTCTTTATTCTGTCAGAATGTTTCAGAAATGCTCAAAAAGCAAAAGTAGAGGAGTGTGTGAGAGTGGGATCTGTGGGTTTTTCTGTGCAAACAGAAAACTGTAGCAGCTAGAAAGAAGTAAGTTTGTTTGGGTTGTTGTTGGTTTGTGGTTTCTGATGCGCAGCTAAAGAACTGCAAGTGTCTATTTTGTGTGAGAATGTCTGTCTGTTACTTCCTGTTCCCTCCAGCCAACTTTCTTATGTTTCTACCTTGGTGGTCTGATTGCCAACGCACTCATCTGGCTGCCAGCAGTAAACGGGCTGTGTCCTGAAAAGAAGACCCATAATAGTTTACCCGCTACCTCAGTGCTTGAAGAAAAAACCAACTGATTACATTTTTTTACTTCTTCATCTGGTTCACCCCACTAACCGCATGTCTCGCCACAGTCCCCATAATGCTGTGGTTCCCAGGCCTGGTCCCTCTCTGTCCTGCATATTGTTGATGTTTCCCTGATGACACACACCGGACTGGAATGAATGGGTGGCTATCAGACTTCTGCAGCACTTTATAGCATACTTATGAACTAATGCGATCATTTATTTATTGCTTTATTCGTTTTGAGTCATATAAAAGAAAACATATGTATTGTACCCTTGAATAAGTGAAAACAAAATAAAGAAAAGGATCCACTTATACAGAAATACATACAGTAATATTCATAGATCAAGAACAAGACATTGTCTGAGTTAACAAAATTATGTTTTATGTGATAATACTGTACAAATACATAAACAAGAATGCATTTAGCTTGAAAACAAGTGGTTAGGAAACAAACTTATTGTGTGTTTACCAGAAGCTGCAGCCTGGACAGGCAGCTGCTTCATCTCAGAACTAAAATAACTCTAAGGCTCAAATATTCGGCACGGAAACACATTTCTCAGTTTTTGTGCCGTATTTATTCTTTAAGCAATCAATGTGCAGCATTGCTGGTATACGTCAGGTACAAGCCATTGACCAAATTAAGATTATTTAAAAGATGTTGCGCAATATGGTGTTGATGGATTAGAGAGACGATGTGAGAAAAAAAGTTCTTTGAAGTCACTAGATTTACGTTTTTTTTTTTTTTTTTTGAGGAACAGGTGATTTCACTGCTGAGAATAAAGTGGCACTTAATCCTGAGGAAACACTGGGCACCCCTGCAGAAGTGTCATTGGTGCATGCAGGAAGGAGGCAGGTCCCATCAACATGTGAAATGTGTGTGCACCAAAGCAAATACGCAAAACAAACAAAGTCCATGTTACCTTACTTAAACGCACTCACGAACAAATCGCTTAATTTGTGGAGACATGTGGAAGTGTTTGACTATAATAACCATCATTACCTTTGGAGGAAAAAGGGAAAAGACTGAAAAGCCTGAGAGCAACACCATAATAGTGAAGAACTGGGGAGAGGTGTTTTTTTTGTACGACAGTGTTGCAGGCAAGTATTTCACGCAATTGATGGCATCAAGAGGAAATACTCTGTCAACATCCTGAGACGTCAACCACGAAGTTAAATACATTTTTCGAATCGACAATGATCTAAAGCATACTCCAAAATTTGTTGCAAAGTTGCTAAAGCACAATTAAATGCGTTTTGTGGTGGCCATCACAAAGTCCTTATCTCAACTCCACAGAAACTGTGGGCAGGGCGAAAAGGGTGTGTGAGCAAAGTGGCCCACAACATTGACTCAGTAACAACAGTTCTGTCAAGAAGAAAGGGTCAGAATGCCAGGAAACTTGTGAGAAACTTGTGGAGGACAGGAAAACTGTTTCAGATGAACGAAAACTAAGGAAATGTGATCGATTCCGCTTTGCTTTTTAATTGCTTTAAAATTGTACTATTAAATTATCTCTCATTCTGAAACAACATAGATAATCCTGATGGCGCTAAAACAGGAAAGGTTTAATTGATTGAATGTCAGATAGTAGGAGTCTTTTCTTTCTTTCTCTCTTTGTTTCTTTTTGTACATACAAATTGTATGTAAATATCATTGTATGCAGTATACTGCATCCGCTTTGTCTAGTTAGTTATTCCCCCCAGAGTCTGATCAACTATCTCAGCGTGTGACTTCACATGCTGAGTCTAGCTTCTGCTTTTCTTTCCTTCTTTCGTCATTCTTTTCTTCCCCCTCTCTGTTCTCCCACTGCAGCCCAGAGGGGCAGAGTGAGAGAAAGCAGACTGGCAGCAGCCCGGTACCGGTTGAAACCTGTTTGGCTTGCAACTGAGAAGACATTTCCTCCGCCCAGTGCATCATCAACCAGAACCAGAAAGAACTGGAAGTTATGCCGCAGCAAACAGAAATAAGCACAAAAGAAATAATAATAAATAAATAAAAAATAAGAATGAAGACAGAAATATTGCACAACTTGACACAATTTGTTATTTCTGAGTTGGGAGATTTTGAGCAAAAGTCTTACAAGAAGAAGAATATGATGCTGCGTTCATGACCGGAAGGGGACACCGAGTTATACATATAGAAAAGACCTCAATTTATATTGAATGTGTTTCTCGGTCTATTATTCATCTACTTTTTGAACTTACTGGGAGGTTAGCTTTTTGTCCACACACTTGCCAGATAAATTATTAAACTCCTTACAATTCTGTTCCTCGAAGAACACAAAGCCCTGTTCGTTACATTACGTTACGCTCCGTGGTCTGGTGTGGCCTACTTCCCGAATTTCCTAAAGCAGTTTTTGGATCCTCTCAGTTATCCATTTTATGTTTGGAATCTTAAATGAATTTAAGTTGAATTCATTTTCCTACATGTAAAATTTCGATTACAAATAAATGCTCCTTGAGACGCCAACGTTCTGATTTTTAATTTATTAGTAAATAACTTACAAATAGCACAGAGATCGGTTGCGTTGTAATGATTGTTCAGAAAATGTTACTTTCCCCCAGCCCCCATGGTCAGTAAACGCAGCATTTGATAACTAGTGGGCGGCGACTACTGGAACTTGCTCTTATCCAGCCGACCAATAGGAAAGGCCCGTTGAACCCACAAACAGCGCAGAGCGCGGCTCCATATTGGATCGGACTTCTTCTGAGAAATACGCTGCTCGGTCGGGCATATTATCTGATACACCGACAAGAATCTCACTTTACGCCTAGGCATGAGGACTAGCAGCCGGCAAGTACCACTGTCACGAGCAAACCTTCCCCAGGACTCTGCTTCTCTGAGCGGCGTCGTTGCCTCCGCGAACGCCGTTATTAAAGGCGCTTAGAAATTAGGTTAACCGCGCACCTGAGGAGCGGCTGGAAAAGTGGCATGCAGAGTGAGGAACACACACTTGGACTGAGATAACGTTGGCAGTAAGTATGTTTCCCTCTACAAAAACATATAAACTAAAAATAAAGTATGTTTCAGTGACATAACTGATTTATTAAGGCCCAAAATACATAGTGACGCTTCACTTTAACGTGTCTAATCAAGTCATCTGACCTTCTGAGGCAGCGTTCAAAAACTGACTGACTGGAAAGGTCAAGTTTTTCCATCAACAGAGCATGAAAAAAAAACAAACAAACAATATTTTCTTTTAGGACATGTAGAAAAACGCCTCGGGATGTCCAGCAGCATATACTAACTGGTGGCCATCTTAGAAGTTCCAGTTTATCTCTGAACTTGACTTACTGTCCCGCTACTGTCACGCGCGCTCTACAGTCTTGCTCATTGTCTTTTTTTTTTCTGTTTTCTTCAAAGGTTAACATTTGAAGAAGGCTTGTTCCGCCTTTCTCGAGGCACACGCGACGCTTGCTGAGACACAATGAGAATTGAAAGTTGATCATGAAGCATGTCAGATCTGCTCAGTCATTAATGTAGTTTACAAACTTGCACTGTTGCTTCCAGCTACTGAGTAAATGGAGGAAACCTCTCTGTTTGAGATATGTTAAATATTTGAATGTTCTCTTTCTTAAAGAAGAACTTTACATCAGAGAACATCAGTGAAAACTAAAAATTAATATCAGCCAGGGAAAGCCTAGTATGTGTATCTCTATTTTCTCCACCCATTTAGTTGTACTCTGTGTAGCTGCTGAGTTGTAAATTTGGCAACAATAAAAGGCATGCAAGGGGTTTGTGAAGAGGACCAGGGCAGACTGGAAAGGTCACATATAAAGATCTTGTTTCTTACAGGAATGCTTTGGCTCTTGTTTTTCTGTGGCTGAAGTGACTGCCTGTCAAATATATCTCAATCCCACCAGTTGGCCACAACATGCATCTGCAATATAAGCTATACCATTACCATTAGTCAACTCCACAGTGCAGAAGTTAGAAAGAAATCCGATCGCCTGGCAATAGAAGATGGAAGGTATTTGATGAAGCTAAACTGTTAGGAATTTTAACTGCATGCAGTGCCACTTGTTCTAGAAAATCCTGTTACTATTAGGAGTTCACAGATGAGTTGACATTAATTTTAAGATATTGGTTTTTGGCTTAATCGTGTGGCATCTGTTTTATCAACCAATCTTGTCTATATAATAAATTTGTAACACTCTGCATTGTCTTTAAATTGGATGAAACAAACTAGCAGACTGGCTCCAGTTTATACTAACAATTAATATTGAGGCCTGACAACATGTGGCCTGAGGAAGAGTAATGCCAGGACTTCTCGTGCTGGCAAATCCAATTTGCCCTGTTCTCAGGTGGTGGAGGACAGGTCTTGAAAGTATCGAGTGTTTCAACATGTCATAGTTTAAAAAAAACAAGGTGTTGACATCAGTGATCTCTGCAGTTTGTTCAGGATTTGATTGAGTCAGCAACCACAGTTCTGAAGCCCTAGATAAGCAAAAAATACACAATATACCTCTATCTTGCATGGACTCTTTACAGTCACTCATATTTAATTAAGTTTAATTGCGTTAATCTATTAGTCAGAAAATAAATTACCTAGGAGGAGTTCTTTTTAAGTTTTGCACCATGAATTTAGGTAGAATCTCAATTAGCGACAAATGCTTCAATCTTTGTTGTTATAATTAATACTGATATTGCACAGGCAAGCCGTTGAAATATTTACAACATATGTTTTAGAGCTAGTAGTGCTTTGTAATCACCTGTGTTGTTGACTGGAAAATCTCTTTGTTGTAGTCCCAGGGACTGTTATCCCTTGTGCATAAAACAGTGTTGGAAAGAAAACAGTGTTAGAAAATGAATAAGAACAAATGTTTTTTTAAACAAACACTGTTTTCATTATTACACTACAGAATCACTCTGACACACACAGTCCCAGAGGCAGTGGCGGTTGATGGTGATATTTGAAGGGAGGGCTTATATATATTCTTTTTTTTTTCTAATTCCAATGAGAAACCCATCCAATTTGAAAAATAAGAAGAAAACTTGCTAAAGACAACCATGGAAACATACCAAATACAGCTAAAAACATTACTACTACATTGCTTTTCCAGTCAGCTTGTGTTCCCTGTTTAACCATAAGAAAATATTGTATTCATGTATGTTGTCATAATTACTCAAAATTATTTGTTTATAGTCCAAAATATTGGACTTATTATTTATGGAAAAGTGCATACCGAGTTTATAGTTTCTTTAGCTGTCCCCAAATAATGCGTTCTATTACAAATTTATTCTACTGCTACTTGTCCACGTCCCATTTTTGCCTACTGTGTCAAAAAAGCTTCAAACCCAAAATTCCAAATTACTTTTAGAATCTTCTTCATGTCATGTCTGTCCTGTAAATCAATCTTAAAATAGATGTGTAAGCTAGTATAAATATTTGTTTTTATTGCCAATCTGACCTCAGATATAGTAAATTAAGTTGATATGATCAACTAAGTCTTATTTTTGTTTTCCCAGTGCTGCTTTCATGAGCCACATATGATTCAGTGTAGTCTGACCACTAGGAGGTGCCAGAACACCTCTCACTGAAGTCTTTTGGTATTAGAGGCATTTGTATCAACCTAAGTGTCTCTTCAGAGTGGAACAGGAATGATGTTAATTTGTGACACTCATCCAGAAGAGCTTATAGGCTACATGACGTTAAGCTGTTAGCTCTAAAAGATGCTGTTTTTGCTAGGGTTAAGGTAATTATATGGACACACAATTAAAGCTACATCATCATAAAGTTAGTTATTTTTGAACTAACTTTATGATGAAAAAATAACACAAACTAATCTAAAGAAAAATTCTGTGAGCATAGTGAACATGCCTCAATGACTAAATTAGGGTTGATTTTCAGGCATTTGGTTAATGAAACATGTGAGTCAAATGGCTCAGTGGATCAGAGGAGAAGAGTTTGGGGTGGAGGGCGTGGGTTTTGGGTAAGACTTTGTAACATGTCTGGATTTAGCAAAATCGTGACCCAACACTTAAACGTTGTGAAGTAAGACTGAAAAACTCGGTGACAGGAAGTGAAAGTTCAGTGAAGCAGACCATAGTGCAATTATGGCGCAGACTCCTTCTCAGCGGTGCCATTGGTTACTTATTTACAGCCTGTTTTACTCCGATGAAATAAGACTCCAGCAACTAGGGCAAGGAGCAACAGTGTGGCACTCCACTTTTCTCACTCTGCTGCTAAATGGACCAGAGTTTAAGCTGTAAAATGTTTCTGATAAAAGTTTGCTTTTCCCAGAAACTTGCATTGAATCTTATTTTGATGACTTCCTTCTTTTGTGTAAAAGAGAATAGTGATTATGTGTAGTTCTAAGCTTTCAGAATGTGTTCATGCTGACCAGTGTTGAGGGAATTACGGTGTTTTTGTGTTGGTAGAAACATGTCGTAACTCATTCTCAATGTTACGACATCTTTGCTTTGTTTGAAATTTAAGCTACTTCTACTTTATTTGGCAGTTATTACTATAATTATCACGATCAATGGCAGGTTCAAACAGCCTCTGTTTTCTCTTTGACCTCTTCTCTTCAGCATTAACTATTTGGATAAAATCCCCAATTTAAAAAAAATGTTTGTAAAATACTCATCTACAATCCACAACCCTCAGTCTGAATTAATGATTCTGAAATGTTACATTTTTACCTAAATGAAGAAACAGATTTTTTATGATCTAAATAAGAATGTCTTTTTTTTTTCCATTGCAGTAATGTTTACACTCACAGAGGTTGCATCCCTGAATGACATCCAGCCGACGTATCGCATCTTAAAGCCATGGTGGGACGTCTTCATGGACTACCTGGGCCTGGTCATGCTCATGTTGGCCATATTTGCAATGACCATGCAAATCACCAAGGACCATGTTGCTTGCCTTCCTTGTCCTGAAGAAACGGGTGGGGTTTCAGAAACTGAAGCTAATCTGTACTCCACCCAAAAAGGATCCTCTCCAACACCCACCGGAGCCCCTGTTACACCTACAATCCCTTCGGGCACTATGGCACAGTCCAACAAAGCCATCACTGGTATTCTCACAACGCATCGGCCTGCAACAGCAGAACAGAAAACAAATCCCCAACCTGAACCCAGAGGGGTTAAAACCAACCTGGACTTTCAACAATATGTCTTTATCAATCAAATGTGTTACCATGATGCCTTACCCTGGTCTTCCAAGTACTTTCCATACCTTACACTTATTCACACCATTATTCTCATGGTCAGTAGCAATTTCTGGTTTAAATACCCCAAGACAAGTTCAAAGATTGAGCATTTTGTCTCTATTCTGGGTCGGTGTTTTGAGTCGCCTTGGACGACGAAGGCTTTGTCTGAAACGGCGTGTGAGGACTCTGAGGAGAACAAACAGAGGTTTACAGGCAGTTCCTCAGGACCAAAGCAGGTGTCTTTAGAGGGGAAGGAGGAAAGTCCCGACACCAACCCATCCACACCAATGCTTGGGGTCAAGGTCTCTGCAGATAAACCCATTGCGGAGGTCCCAAGCAGCATGACCATCCTGGATAAAAAAGACGGAGAGCAGGCCAAAGCCCTGTTTGAGAAGGTGCGAAAGTTCCGAGCCCACGTGGAAGACAGTGATTTCATTTACAGGCTCTATGTTGCTCAAACCTCTGTCAAAACTGTTAAGTTTATTTTGATCCTGTCCTACACTTCCACCTTGGTTAAAATAGAATTCAAGCATTATTGTGAACCAGACATAGAACAGCTAACAGGCTATAAAAAATTCTACTGTACACACAACATGGCTTTCATGCTGAACAAGCTGCTCTTTACCTACATGGTGTTGATCGTAATCTATGGAATGACATGCCTATACTCCCTGTTTTGGGTGTTCCGACGCCCTCTGAAAGAGTATTCCTTTGAGAAGGTGAGAGAAGAGAGCAGCTTCAGTGACATTCCAGATGTCAAGAACGATTTTGCGTTTCTACTGCACATGGTCGACCAGTACGATCAGCTTCACTCCAAGCGCTTCGGCATCTTTCTGTCGGAGGTCAGCGAAAACAAGCTGAGGGAGATCAGCCTCAATCACGAGTGGACATTTGAAAAACTAAAGCAGCATGTCACGCGCAATGCACACGACCAGCAGGAGCTGCACCTCTTCATGCTATCCGGCCTGCCGAACGCTGTATTTGACCTGACAGACCTGGAAGTGCTGAAGCTGGAGCTGATTCCAGAGGTGAGATTTTCTGCCAAGGTTTCCCAGATGACCAGCATGCAGGAGCTGCATCTGTGCCATTGTCCGGCCAAAGTGGATCAGACCGGTTTTGCCTTCCTACGGGATCACCTGCGCCGCCTGCACGTCAAGTTCACGGATGTCGCAGAGATCCCACCTTGGGTCTACTTGCTGCGGAGTCTGAGAGAGCTGTACCTAATGGGGAACTTGAACTCAGAAAACAACAAAATGATCGGCCTGGAGTCCATGAGGGATTTGAGGCATCTGAAGACACTATGCCTGAAGAGTAATCTCACAAAGATGCCGACAAACATCACTGAGCTCTCCCCGCATCTCCTTCGACTGGTGGTGCACAACGATGGGACGAAACTGCTGGTGCTGAACAGTCTGAAGAAAATGACGAGCCTCATTGAGCTAGAGCTGCACAACTGTGAACTGGAAAGGATCCCTCATGCCATCTTTAGCCTGACCAACTTGCAAGAACTCGACTTGAAGTCCAACAACATCAGAACTATAGAAGAGATCATCAGCTTCCAGCATCTCAAGAGGCTGACATGCCTAAAGCTCTGGCACAACAAAATCATCACCATCCCAGCATCCATCGGCCATGTCAAGTCCCTGGAATCTCTCCACCTTTCTCACAATAAGCTGGAGTCCCTTCCTTCAGCCTTGTTTACTCTTCCCAAGCTGCGACACTTGGACGTGGCCCACAACTCCATCACAGTGCTTCCACCTGACGTGGGCCTCCTCAACAACCTTCAGCATCTGGCCATTAATTCAAACAAGCTGGAAGCCCTGCCCAAACCTCTCTTCAGATGCACCAAGCTGAAGGTGCTTTGTCTAGGTCACAACGCGCTCACCAGTCTGCCAGAGACCGTGGGTCAGCTGGTGCAGCTCACACAGCTGGAGGTCAGAGGGAACTGCCTGGACAGACTGCCTGTCCAGTTGGGAAGCTGCCGAATGCTGCGGAAGAACGGCCTCATCGTGGAGGACCATCTTTTTGACACCCTGCCAGTGGAAGTTAAAGAGAGCATCAGCAGAGAAACAAATGTTTCCTTTAATGGTTTATAAAACAAGATCCATTTAAAAGGCACAACTACATTTCTGGAAATGTTTGCAAAAATGGGGAAACAAATTTATTATTTACAAAAATGAATTAATTTACTTGATCATGTCAGAGGATAAAATTGGTTGCTAACATTAACATTAGGGGTGCACCGATAAATTAGCCCTGATTTCCTTAATTTTGGGAGAGCAGTGATTCTCCAACATTTGCACGTGAAGTCGATCTCATCTACCTCGGCAAAGGTCTAGAAATCGATCACTGTCCTCTTAAGAGGTTTGACTAACAGACCGGCCCACCAGGCAGTCAATAGTCAGTTCTCTGTTGCCAACTTTGCAACTTTCTTGCTATAGATTTAGCAACATATGAGACACAAAAATTAATACCAGCCAAGATTGTCATCAGCAAGTCAAGCTTTTAGAAGATCGATAATCTGCGATTGACCTGAAAACTGCAATCGGTGCCACCCCTGATTAATCTAGCTTTAAAGAGGCATTTTTGTTGGCCAGTGCAGTAACAGGCAAAAGTTGTTTTTTATTCCCGTTAAATTTATATTAAGATCTTAAGTGATCGACCAACACAGAGTAATGTATGAGTATTTAGTAACAGATAAAGGAGACTGAATTTTTTTTTACATTTTTTTGTAAACATTTGCAATTTACATGACAAATGGTAATGAAGACATGAATGGATACCAAGTGTTGGCTTTTTATTAGGGATGCACCATATATTGGTATTAACTGGGCCAATATCAGATTAAAAACAAAGCATAAAAATCACTGTCAAGTCCTGACGCAATATGTTTAAGCTCATTGTTTTGCTGCTCCAGGATCGAGTGTTTTCCATGTCCAACAAGATTTCCTCCAGATTAATTACTAACAATAAAATAAACATGTGACTGAGAGGTTTGACTGACTGGGACTCCTTTCTTGCCCTGTCAGTTTTGAAATCCATGTCTAGGTAGGTTTGCAATTGTGCCATGCTCTTTTCCAAATGAAGAATTGATTGAAGTTAAAAGTTTGGGATATCGATGTAGAAACTGTTTAAATGTCATCGTTCTTCCTGACCAGTCTGTGTTCCCTGGACTCCAGAATACTATTTATTTACTGATAAACCTCAGAGGTCTTCACAGAACATCTGCATTAATGCTTGAATAAAAAGCATCAGAAAGCAGGTGGTTGCATTAGACATTATTTAGGGGCATCAGAGTAAAGGGAGCTGAATACAAACGAATGTCATCCTTTTCAGATTTTTAATGAAAGATAGTGAAAATCATGCACTGTTTTGTATCATGCATGTTATAATTTCAAAAGATGAGCTCTGGATGTTAAAATTTTAAAATGCTGTAATGAGAATTTATTGCAGAATTTTTAATTGGAGTAGATAATATTTTCTCTGCATCCAGCTGGAACTGTACAAATGTAAATACTGCACCTAAACTTAAAACTTGTCCCATCAGGTTACTTCAGTACACCAACTAGTGATTTTACTGCAGGTCAGTGATCAGAACTTTTTATTTTTGTTCCTTGCATCTATTAAAGCTGCCATGTAACCAAGAGTAGAACAGATGATGAAAGTGAAACCATTTGTCTCCATGAACGGCTACCAAGTGTCATGGTATATTGCACCATAGATTGGCATTACCTGGGCTGATATTAATAACTGATGTTTTTCCTTGTTGCCGTTTGTGTTTCTTGAGGAGAAGATTGGCCAAGTGATGTTCAGTCATGTGTCAAAAGGGCAGGGAAATATATTGGGTAAATGTTGGTTATTGGCCATAAAAATAAGATATCAGGAATCCATATAAGTCCAAATTTTCATATCTGTGCATCCCTGATTTTTGTGTTGTCCAAAAGTTAGATTTTATTGCTAGAAGTTAATTACTTTGATTAAAAAAAATTCTCTGATAAACATATCCCTATGATGTTTCATTTTAATGCACTGTGTGTTGGTCCATCACATAAAATCCTAATGGAATACACTGAATCTGGTGGTAATAGGACAGAATGTAAAGGGGTTGAAAAGGTGGAAATAGTTTTGCAAGGTACTCGCATTAAATTTTGTTGTTCATAGCTTTAAGTCATTGGGGCAAAATCCCCCCCATAAATGTAACTTTATTCTCTTTTAACCAAAACCATTTGCTCCAATGATTAAATGTAGATTTGTTTTAATAGTCTTTGTAGATACTCAGGTATAAATTGTAACCATGGGGAATAATCTTTTTTTTTTGTTTTGTTTTGTTGCCTTAACTGCTGCTATATTTGTTTTTCCACAGCAAAAGACCAAAAATGAAATGGAATGTTTTCTTGTCTGTCTGCTTTGGCAGAGCATTTTTATTTTAAATTCTCTTCGAGAAGTAAAAAAAGAAAAAAAATCTCAGCCCTCCTATCTTGGTGGTTCTTAACTGGTTTCTCATATTCTTGCATATTTCTGTAGCGGACTGAATGACCTGAGAGTTGTAAAACTCAGGACTAGAAAAAAACCTTTACCTCACTGTTGTAGAGATTGTACACAAAGGCCTCTGTGGTTTGTACCTAAAACCTTCATGATGTAAAAAATGAATGTCTCTTACTGATGGCATGTTTAGACTGAGAACAGAGCTGATAAAAGGGAAACATGTTGGCTCTAACTTTTTAAATCGTGTTTTCATATTTTAGCCTGTGATTGAGAACGATCATTAGCTCAGTCACTGATGATGATGATGTCTGCCTTCACTCTTTAAGTGTACCTCTTTGTAACCCTGTAAGTGTTCTTCAGAGCTCATGTATCATGTTAGTCATCTCATGCTGCAATTTGATTTGGCAATAAAAAGAAAATCTACATTACTGTCTGAACATTATTGATCTTCCTCATTTGAGTTGTACCCAACATTGGGTTGTGGACAGAATAGAACATTGTCATTTACTCTTTACTGAAATATGCATGCAGACTATTTTAGCCCTGTTGTGGAAAAAAGCTTTTAGTGTGTAGCAAAGTTACTGACAGACCATCCTCCTGGTTCTGATTGGTCGGTTGTGACAATCAATCAGCTATCTTCTATTTCTGAAGCTAGCTAAGAGTTGGCAGAACAACTTTTTTTCACGTTTGTCTCACAACATTGACAGTTTTGAACAAGTATGTGGCAATAAATAAATAAATCTAATTTAATTAGCCACAACTGACTTGAAGTTATTACAGCATTCCTTATTTGTGTCACGAGACAAAAGATCAGCGTCAGTTTTCCTTATTTCTTCTTCAGGACTTTTCTTAGAAGGCCTCTGTATTTCCTGTTGACATCAGGGCCACTCAGGACTGTGCTTTCAGTGTTGCTTAGAACAGAGTGAAAAATGTTGTGGCGGCCTCAGCACCTAGGAAGAAAAATCCCCCATTGTGAAACATTCAGAAGTTAAGTGATAAGGCAAACCAACTTGCTTTTTTTGGCCTCGGGTTTAGCACATGGGTTTTCTCCAACCTTCACCAACAAATTCACTCATCTACATTATCTTACAGTGTCGGACATCAGACTAGATGGTGCTAAATCTGGTTAGGATTTTGCAGGAATGAAGGGATCAGCAGTGAATGGGATCTTGTGAGTCCTGTCAAAGTGGAACAGCAGCATCAGTGTGGCCCACGCAGACATTTCAGACTACCTTCCTGAGAAAGAAGTCATTGTTTACCTGTCCTTGAAACACCCCTGGTTGAAATCAAATATGAATGCATATCCAAATCAAACCAGTTAGGGTTTAGTAAACATTTCCAGATGAACAGTTTTTATCAGGTAAGAAGTCTATCTCACCTTGTCCCCTTCACATTAAAAGTATTGTGAAGTATTTCACACATTCGGATGTGAAATATATACACTGCTAAAAAAAAATAAAGGGAACACTCAAGTAACACATCGCAGATCTGAATGAATGAAATAAATATGAAAATAATTTCCACCTGTTGTCTCTTCCATTTGCACAACAGCAGGCGATATTGATTGTCAATCAGTGTTGCTTTCTAAGTGGACAGTTTGATTTCACAGAAGTTTGATTTACTTGAAGTTATATTGTGTTGTTTGAGTGTTGTCTTTATTTATTTATTTTTAGCAGTATACATTGTATACGCCACAATATACTTTATTGCTAAATGTAATAGAGCCTTGAGACGTGACGTCATACGCAGTCGCGTCAGTTCCAAAGCTCTCGTCTATTGGGTTTTGCCGCCACCTGTCGGTGACTTTGCGGTAAAGCAGCAGTTTGTTAGCGAGTGAGACTCATTTCACAGACACAGACTGATACAACACACCGACAATTTCGATTTACAGGAATGATGAGACGCATGCTCGGAAATCCGTTTGAACCCGTAGTTAGACTCCCACCGCCAGCGTTGGGGCTCAAAGCGGCTCCAGCTCCAAGGTTTGCAAACTGTTAGCTACAGCAAAGTCAAAGCCTTTGGGGTTTGTTTAGCTAACGGGCTAAAGGGTGCCAGCTTTCTTTCCCTGTCAACACCTTTTACCTCCAGCCCCCAGAAAAAAAAAATCCTCCTTGCTCTCAGTGCCGGGTGCTTGTTGTGAGGCTCGGGGTGAACGGTTCTCCTTGATGATTTATCTTCTTTTGTTTTGCTGTACAGCTAAATCAAAACTAGCCCCGCTAGCTTAGCCTCCGTCCCCGTTTCTATCAGGTTATTTCCGCCTCGCGCGCTGAGGCTCAGTCTCATGACTTTGCTGTCCTTTTCCAGAGTCCCCCAGCATTTTATAGAAGCTATGAAGCGAATTTCAGGAACACCGGACATGGCTTCCAACACCCAGCCCCAGAAAGGTGAAGGTAATGGCTGACACATCCAGACTTTCCTGAACTAACGAACAATCCTGAAACAGCTGATGCCTCCTCGGCCTGTCGGTCCTTCTGTGGCTGTTTGTGTTGTCATTGGGGACATTAAGCAATAAAACTCAGTTTCCTGTGACTTCTCCTACTTCCGGGTGACAGAGGGACACCTCTGGAATGCATACACATTTTAACATATAAAAGATTTCGGATACTCAGCCTAGAGGTTGGGGGACAACAACAGGACATAAAGGAGGAAAAAAACATTTCCATAAGGCAACACCTCTTAAGATTTTTTTAAAATAAAAAAGTGAAATGCCAACTAACTTTTTAATGCAAAGTGTTCATATATTCTTGAAGACAGTAACTCACAGCATGAGAAGCAGCCTCGATGTCATTGTCAGCCTTACAGCACGACTAGAAAAGAAGTGATAGTGACAGTTTTTATAGAATGGCTCTTTGAAGGTTTGTTTGGCGTTTTGCAGCGGATGCTTCTGTTGACAAATGGAAATCCTCCTTCCAGCCGATTGATAAACAGAAGGAGAAATCTGAGGACAGAAGTCCAAGTTCTGACATGAGGTGAGGAAATTGTGTCGAATGTTTTCCAAGGTGAGTCCTCTGCCTCAATCGTTGCATCAGAGCATCCATTTTGTTTCTGTTGCTGAAGCCTTTTCCATTGACCTGGTGGTTGAAATTGGGTTGCTACTAGAAGCAACTCACAGTTTCTCCTCCTGTCACTCGTAGGACTGAGCTTTATGACCCCAACAACCCTCTGTCGTCAGACTCTGAGCCTGAGATGTCACAGCTGCCCCCTGCTGTTCAGGACAGCAGCCAGAGATGCAAGCGATCCTCTCCGGACAGAGACCCCCGGCGCAGAGAGTCGTCGACGGCAGCGAACCGTCCACTTGAAAGACGGACTGTTCCACAGACAGCCAGACCCACAGACAGCCGAGATCTGAGTCCAGGGCATATTCTGGCTAAAAGCCGGACTTACAGCCCAGATAGTAAACTACTGGACCATCCGGGTTATGAATTCCCAGCTGGACACTTGGAGGCAAGAATCCACAGTCCTGACAGACTGAGTCATGGCTCTTCCTCCCAGGCTATCCCCGAGTCCTTCAGGGGGCTGAGGACCAACGGAGGGGAGAGGAAACCTCTTCCTGATTATCCAAGAGAGGTAGCGCTCAACGTTTTCTAAAAGTTTCACAGAGCATTTTTTTTTTTTTTGCTCTTTCTTTAAATGTGAACATTATCCTAAAGAGGGTGTTTCCTGCTGTAATACCGTGTTGGTCTTTTCTCTCTGTGCAGATGGCCGTCCCCCTCAGGGTGTCTCCACCTCGGTTAAAGCGAGACCATCAACAGCTGGGATACGTAGAAAGAGGTGAACGTGTGAGCTCTTTGCACATGATTCCAAAAATAATTGCATGAAAAATAAAGCTGACATGATTCGAATTGATTATTGAAATCGTTGTCAACTAGTTTGGTAATCCATCAATGCTACGGACTCAAAAAAAAGCTAAAAGAACAACGCAGATCAGTAATTCAGCCTAAACAGTAGAAAAATGTTTACATTTTGCATTCAAGATGAAAAAAATACTTCTAACTCTGCATGTGGCGGAGTTTCAGCCAATCAGTTCATTATGTAAAAGTAAACATCTTTGATTAAGTGCCTATTGATATCTAATTATCAGTTGATGCATCCTTAATGGACAAAATGTTATTGCTCGTAATGACTTTTTGTGTTTGTGCGTTTGAACAGGACTGGACCAGGAAGCGCCTCCACCGAAACTCTCCAGGACTAAAGGGGAAAATGCTAAACTGAACAAGTAAGCACCAGGCGTGTTCCTGTCTTCATTGAAGCTGTTTGCTCTGAAACTAAGTTTTCCCTTCAGACCGTCAGTTCCCGAAACCAACAGAATCAATCACAATCAATCACACAGAACCAACCTCCTCACTCTGACTTTGATGTGTGTTCTAGGTGTCCCATCACCTGTGACCTCTGTGACATAGAGCTGTCCAACGCTCAGGAACTGGAAGAACATCTGGACAGCCGAACCCACTGGGACACTCTGGAGCACATCCAGCGCAGCAGCAGCTACGACGATATGGCTATAGCGTTTCTACAGGTGAGAGAACATCTAGCGCAAATACATGTAACCTCATGTTAGATAACCGCAGTGTCAACATATCTAAAATAAGAACAAAATCTGATTAGTAGGAGGTATTTTTCTCCCTATAGGAAGTCATGGTGTATAAAAGCCAGCACTGTAGCCGAGCGGTAGAGGAAGACGCACTTCCAGGTAAACACGTGACTGCTGTCAGGAATGAGACCCGCCGGCCCGCTCTCACTCCAGCTGGTTGTGTTTGTCGGCGTCCCCAGGTCTGCAGGAGAACCACCACATGACGAAGGTGGAAATGCTTCACTGTGCGGCCTGTAAGGTCCACGTGTCCACATCTGCAGCCGAAGTGGAGGCCCACGTCTCCTCACTGGAACACCTGACCAACACCAAGGTGAGGCTGCTGACTGACCAGCCTCTGCTGACTGACCAGCCTCTGCCGACAACATCCAGCAACACCAGCTGGGCTCCAAGGTTTTCCACTGGCTGATTATTTTGTTTCCCATCAGGGGTTTGAAGTTCAGCAGAGACATTCCTGCCTCAGCAAAGCAGAAGCCATGCTCAAGAAGCTGCAGCCACAGTTTGAACTCTTCTTGAAGGTATTTAGAGCAGCCCAGCTTACGAAAGGGGCAGAATTGAAAATATTAGATGTAAAATTGATTTTTGAGTTTTACCTTATGTTACATTATTATTCCTTCATCAAAAAAAAAACCTGGAGTGTTGCCTTTCATATGCTTGAGAAATCCTTTAATCGCCATGGCAACCATTCAGCTGTGCAGAACGCCCAGGTGGACATAGCTCCGCCTTCAAGGAGCAGCTCCTCCTCAGAGCTGAAGTTTCCAGGCTTGTGCCTCACAGAGCAGCCCTCCATATGACACACACACACACCCCCCCACACACACACACAGTTGTGTTTTC